TTCGACATAAATAGTAACTAAAACATTAAAATAGATCAGAGCCATTATATATTTTCCTATTGCCAAAGAGTTGATCCGCCACTGGCTTTGCAAGGAAGACAAGCCTCGCCAAGTTTAGATGATAGCGACGGCTTTCTAATTTGCTTTCTTCTCTTTTCCTTTTGCTTCTCGAAGGTTGCTTGATTTGCACTAAACTTGGAACATAAAGGCACATGAGTGTCCAATACCTGTACTGAATATGTTTTCCGAAATCCACTTTTTTAACGGATCCATCCTCTCCAATGATGGTAACCCTGTTGCGCAACAACTCCCTTGCATCGATAAGCAGTGCGACTTTCTTCACCTCGTCAATGAAGAAACTCCCTCGCAAAGGTTCAATCCGAATCTCATCGAGTGGGTTCCAAGCCACGGTTACAAACTTGCTCCACGACATTTCCTTGTCGGGCTCAACTTTAATTTGGTAGTCGTAATCCATATGTTAGTCTCAGCGTTCAAGAAAGGAAAAACTGCAAGCTTCTCTTCTCTAACACAAGATAGAGTCACAAGGCCACACCAAAGACTAGCTACAAAGGGCAAACGCAGAAGCGGCCCGAAACTCACTCTTGTAAAATCAAAACATATGATGTGATCAATGACTTTCAAGTCTGCGTCCCTCTTTGTAGCACACCAGTAAGTGTTCCCCTTGATAGTAACGCCAAGGTCCTGACACTTTATGCGCCAGTATGGACGGACCACAAGAGTTGTCCATGAATCATAGATTGAAAATTTGTTTCTAGCTGGAGGCTTGGCGTTGCTGGCTATAGGCCTGTAGTGATCTATAAACCTCAAGAACTTGTGGCTACGACAAGATTTCTTATTCTTGTATCCGAGAGCATAAGCGAAGAGGTCGGTTCCTTCTGGACGGTGAAAGAATCTTGGTTTGCCCGCAATACGGATTCCAAACCACAACCCTAGGATCTTCTTCCAAGATGCATAACAAAAGACCCTCGCACTGAAAGATTTGAGATATCTTTAATTGTTCGTCAAGGCAAGTTAGGTTGCCTTTAACCTCTGTAGAGGGGATGGTCGTGGTCGACACTCATTAAACAAAGAGTGTGATCCATCATGACGACCATCCGAGTATCCCCTTCCTTTGCTGCTTCTTTACCAATGTGCATCTTTCCAAAGCTAAGTGTCCCACTTTTGCAAGTTAATCGCACTGATCTCATACAAGTCAAGGGAAGTCGAGAGAGAATTTCTTCTACCATATCCCTTGGAAGATCGGAGATCGTCTTCGTCATCTGCAGTCATAGATTCAACAGAAGTTCAATATTCAAGAGGGATTACTAATGTTCAAAATTGAAAATTTCAACCTAAAATCACCTTCTAATATGAATATCAATCGAAAGAAAGCGTAGCTCACTCGTCAGAGATACTT